ACCGAATCCTCAAACTAAACAGCAGAATGTGTGTGAGCAAATTTTCAGTGTCGCAATGCAAAAGACTAATAGATTGACGCGGCAGCATACGCACACATCGCGACAGTGGTTATCTTTCACATGGGGTTATAGCCCAGAAACACGGTTGTGGCCTCCCTCCCCTGGGTGTGAATGGAAGGACCATCGACAAGCATGTAGGCAATACCGAATATCATCTATGACGGAAGGAAAACTGTGTATTCCTTTCAACCCAAGCAAGACTCAAACTGAGTTCAATCACGTAAACATGCATAGCAAACAAAAGACAAGGTCACTCGCACATCTGCTTCATTTAGCAATTGATTGATTTAAAACAAGTTCACACAAAGGGAGAAGAGCAGAACAGAGTAGTTAGGCCAGATCAGTAGAGATATTCAAAAAAGGTGAAGGGCTAGGCAATGGAAAGAGCTAAGCACACAAATATGGGGAGAAGGAGGTTCATTTGAGGCCACGATGGAAGATGCAGGATGGAGAAAAAATGCTACAAGTAGAAAACCATCCTGGACATATAGACGTTCTCAAATCCGAGCACTGCGGAGGATCATTGGAGTAACGGAAGTTCGGGTGAAGCGTCGTCGGGACTTCGCCGACGAGCTCATAGAGGAGGGTGCGCGATGCTGTGGAAGAGAATGACGAGGAGCCTTGACGGAAGTGGTGGCCTTGGTGCTTCGGCTGCGGAGGGAGGAAGAAGGACTGGTGGTGGTGCCAGTGGTCGTCATCATAGGTGGGGCTCGTGAACGCAGACTTCGAAGACCAATGGGGGAAGTACGACGTTGGATATTTGCTGGTTTGCGATCTGAAAGAAGATTAATTGGATAGCGATAAGCCTCCATGATATCTTAAAGACATCCATAAAAGTAACGAAATGATGATGATTACAAGAAACTTTGTTGACTGAATAATGTGGTGAGTGTTAAGCTCTCCGTTGTAGATAATTTAACCTAAGTGAATTCAAAACAAAGGGAACATGGGTAACATATTAAGCTTTTGAAACCACCTCGACCTTGAGTGCTGCATCGTGTTCGAGAAGGGAGAAAATACGCATGAATAACTAGAAATCCAGGGCAAAAAGGCTGTTGAATGCCAAGAAAAAGGCAAGGCATTAAGCATTGCTGGAAATTGAAGGTGTTAGGCATTGGTCGGGAAACAAGATAGTGATAGCTGGTACAAATCGTAAATCCAACTTCAGGTACATAAATATGATAGGAAGCGATCTTCAATTAAAATACCACTAGAATAATAAAACAATTTCCAAACGTGTACAATCTCCACTATCCCCACATTAAAACTGTAGTGTAATAAAATTTCTACCACAAACTACATTACACCGAGCTGATTTTTTCGCTGCGTTAAAATTGAAATTCAAAAGCACCCAGTCTTTACATCACATTACAAAGTGCATGAAAATCCACTCTATTTAATTAATGCTCAAGCGGATACAAAAGCCTCAATGAAGACCGATACGGCACTTAAAATAGGTACAGCCATGTAATGAAAAAGTTACGAATACAGCACACATGATACTTGACAGAATAGATTTCTGACAAGCACAAGCTATTGTGCATGAAACAAATAATAGAAGTGGTGTTAACTTTGTTTTTCCTTGTTGGACATGAA